GTGATTAACGCAATGGGTTTTCTTAAGTAATAAAGGAGAAAATATTCAGTGGATGTAAATATTTCACAGTAAAAACACACGGGCCGGGGTGTCATTTAGGTGAATAGGGAGAGGGGGGTTGACTTAACAGGAAGGCAGTGTGCGACGTTGAGATTTACACATACGTGTCAGTTTTCTGGCAAGGAAAGCTCTTCAATTTGACATTCAAATGCATTATATGTTCAGTTTATTTCATTTAGACATATTAAGGATTTGAATAATTATAAAGTGATAGAAATAAATTTAAAAATTGAGCCTATACGGACTCAACGGTGTTAAAAATATCTGGATCAATGTCTTAAAGGCTTTATTATTATTTTTTTTTAATATCAAGATTTCAAATAATTGTGCATACATGCAGATCAGGGGGGAAAACACATTTCTAATTTCATCAGACGATTAATCGGGAAAGATGAATATTGCACTTTAAAAAGATGCAAAATTATATCAATACCCTGCTCTTATTAATATTTAATTTTGATCAAAAACTCAATTCCATGAATTAAAAAAAAGGGAGATCGATTATTTCATTTTCAAAAGTAGATTTTTAATTTTGATAATCACTCTCTGCTTGACCATGATATAATTATTTTCTTTTTTTTTATTATTGATTTATTCATTATATTATTTATTTATTCTTTTCCTTCCACCCTTTAATATTTCTTTTAATGATGAAAAACTAAGGAATAAAACTTTCTTATCTCTTTCTCGCGTAAAATAATCTTATTTAAGTTAACAAAACGAAAAAAAACTCGGATTTCCTAGGTAGATTCTTCCTAAAGTAAAGATTAAAAGCGAGGGTTTCCGAATATACACGGTAAACTCAAAACACGATACACGATAGAAAATGATAAACGATCTACACGATAAACGCAAAACATGATAAACGGAAACACGATACGATCGGATAAGATATGATACACGCACGATAGGACACGATAAATTTGTAAAGAATAACGTTGCGGGTACTGTTATGGGAAAAACTTCTTCTAAAATGTTATATAAGACAATATTCCATGGATAATAGCTTCCATTGTATCTTTACGAGAAGCACACAATGGACGGTTTACTTGACATAATAACCTGCATCATGTATAGTGTTACAGGTTCAATAAAAGAAAAGAAAACCTTACTAGTGGTCCTACTTAGTCCCCATAATGTCGTTAATGTAATATCTTAAGACCAGGAATTGAGAGTAGAGTGATTTTCGTTTCTTTATTGACAAACTGATTTACGCTTTGAAATAAGCCCATATTGTGGTTGGATTAAATGTTGAGCTTAATATTTACATCGTATAAGAGCTTTCGTACATTGTTCTAGTGTAAAAGTAAGTCGCCAACTGTTAAAGGCATCTCTTCTCACAAAAGTCCACTACCAATCCTCATTAATTGTGGGAAATGTTCGATTTTGACATTTATGTTAAAGATGTACAAGGTGTCTGCTGTAGAACACTCGAAAAATAAATAATTCCCTTCAAAAATATTGAGATAGCAAAATATATTTTAAAAATCGATTTGAAACAAAAAGGTCATGAATAATTTTTAAAGGAAGAAATTTATTATATAAACAAAAGGCTACATGTTTGATATGTTTGTAATCTACATGATATACATTTATGATATAATTGAGAATTTATAATGAAAGACTTTAGCTTTGTGCTTTGATTCCATAGAAGCAGATATCTGATATATTGCACATATGCAAGAGGCTTTAGTCTTTAAGTACAATTAAAGCCAAGTATTAAGGCCATAGTCATTGAAATAGTCATATATTAAATCTTGAATAACGTTTATTTTCCCCCGAGATTTTGACAGGACAATGTCAATTCTTCTATTCTTCTATTGTGGTTTTGTATCAACGGTCCCTGCAGGTAACAACATTGTCTTTGTTTGTTAGGCTCTTCATATAAAATGGAGTCTTATTGAAAGAACATGGATTTTATTCTACAAGTGGTAACCCAACTTATACCCAGAGTTCAATTTCTAATAAAGAAAGTCTTCAAAATCATATGTCAGATTTGAATATTTTTATTATCCCAAACAACCAAAATCAATTTGAGTCTTAATATATAGATTGGATACCGAAACTTTATAAGTATCCTTGAAAACAAATATGCATAACAGGTTCCAGTAAATGTGTAATCAAGCCTCTTTCTTTACTCCTCATTAAGATATTAACGGTAGTGAAAGAGAATTTCAAGAGTATTGTCCAACAATATATGAAAATTGTGGTTTAAATCAGACGTGAATATTTAGTAATTCGAAGGAGCTTTTGAGCAATTTGAAATCAAGTTTTTACCAAAATCAACAACTTCAAAACTTGTGACTTTAAACTTTATGCACGTCAAGCATTCCCTAAGATATATTAAAGTCCAGGATTTTTTTGTATCATTAACGCTGCTTTTTCAATGAAAATGAACTCGTAAATTTACTACTTTGTCATAAGTTATTTGTAATTTAAGAGGGGGCGGGGGTGGGGATTAAAGATTTTGATTGTACAACCAAGTACTCTAAAGTTGACAACAAAAGATGCTCGTGTTTCTGATCTATACTATTTATGTGCTTTTGAAAACTCGGTCTTACAACAACTTTTTGAATTCTCATGCCATTGGGTACCTAGAACGTCCCGTTATTAGCAGACCTATATTTATATTAATATTCGTACTCATGAAGCAGAATTTTTCTAAAATCTATACGAGAAAAGAAGAAAACAAATTTTATATGACCTTGTCAGTAAATACATGTACAAATTTATCATTGAGTAAAATACTGACTGAAGTTTTTCATTCTATTTGTTAGTTCATTATTTACACACTGAATTTACGTTGGATGTATATGTTATTACCCGATCATGACAAGTAACAAAATAATTGAATTGTTTTTGAAAGTGTTCGCATGTAAACCATGCTCTTGCGTATGCATTAATCTGGGAGACTTAAAATTTATTTACTCAATAAAAGATTGATTGATTATTTGTAGTTTAACGTCCCGCTCGAAAATTTTTCACTCATATAGAGACGCCACCATTTGCCGGTCGTGAGCTGCAAATTTTAGTCCTTTACTCGGCACTCAAAGCCATTGAGCAGAGAGGGGTCTCTTTCATGCCAGCACCTACTGCGAAACGGGACCTCGGTTTACACCGTCTTTTCCAAAGGACCGGTCTCCACGTCCCACAGTGGGATTCGAACCCGCGACGTATGGAATGACTCAATACTTCGCGACTCTAGAGCAGACGCCCTAACCACTGCACCATGTGGGCGACCACAATAATAGAATTTTTCTACATAAGTAAGGGAAGATAATGAATATTTGTTAGCAATAAAACAATGAACATTTTTCCCCTTTTATAAACAGCATTAAATAAATTTGTTATATAAGTATACTCAACAAAAAAGAAAGAAATATTCACATTAAACATGATTATTGAAGTTTTCAGATAAAATCTTAATTTTCAAAATTTATTTTAGAGTGTGTTGTGATAAAAAAAATGTCCTTTGTTCGAAATTGACAAGTTAAGTTGATGTCATTAACGTCGCCTCCAAATTCTAATGGGATACTTTTTAACTGATTCATATGTCATTTGCGACCTATCAGCGCTAGTGGATTTCTAATGTACACACGTCGTGTGCGAATACCAGCTCCTCTCATTCCCTTGCGAACAATTTGTGCACGTTAGAGCAATTTGAACATCAGTTCTGCGTCGATTGTACAGGTGCTGAAACAGGATCTGACGATCCTGTCCGGATGTGGTATCCCATGGATGGACAGTTCCTGGTCTGTCATCCGTGTTATTGGTGGAGACGTGCGTTTAAGTGCTGCAAAGCCGATTGATGTACATCAAATGCTTTTGCAACTTCCAGTTGCGTAGATCCAGTTAATATCATTGTTAGAGCCTTTTTACGTTCATCTTTGTTTAGGCGTGGCATTGTAGCATCAACATTGTAATCGAAGCAAGATCAACGAGACTTTTTATTATCATAGTTTAAATTATTGTGCCTCTGTCGTTCAACTTTTATTCTAATTGATATAATTCATTGGAAGTCGTTGGAAGTACATGTAGTAAGAATTGCCAATAAAAGATGAGGCAACTACTGCAAAATCACATATCTTTGTGGGATCACATTTTCGACGATTGAGGAAAAATGTGAGTTCGTGGCCCTTTCATTTCGTGGATAAGAAAAATAAAGTTTTACATTAGAAATTTTACAGAAATTTGCGGATCTCTTTATACATTGAAAACAGCGAAAAAATATACACGCACAAAAATCTGTGGTTTTGCAGTAATAATTTCTTCACTGTATAAAATGTTTGAAACATAAATTTTAGAGGGAAAAGTGTTGTCCATTTATATTTGTTCCTGTTCAACTTGCACATATAATACATATATTTTAGAAACTTTTTTACAAAGTTTATAAGTGTGATTTTACACAAAAGCAGCAACATAAGACGACAGTCTCTTTTCTCTAAAACCCCAAAAATATTTTTATTTAGATACTACACTGTCTGCAGAAAGTATAGAAACAAACACCGACTTTTCCCAAACAGCAATCTTTCGTAAGCTGACACTGATTAATCTATATTATCATTTTAACATAAAGCTTTGAGGCTACGAGTCTAAAAAGAAAATTATTTTCTTTCAAATTTATCAATTGAAAACAAAATACTTTTTATTCTTTTTTAGGTTTTATTTATATTTATTAGGTTTGACTACTCGCATTGAAATGTTCTAATTGTAGCCATGGTAAAATCATGTCAAAGATTTCATTGATTTTGTCGTTTACAGCATTTTTTGCTGTGAACATATTTCAGAAAGAGAAATGGAAACATAAAGCTTTAAACAAATAAAGAAAGATTAGTGTATTTTTCACAAAGCAATGTAAAAAATTCAATAGACATCACATTAATTACACGTAATCATGTACTTACAATTCATGTATGTTGTAGTTGCAGTGGAATTCGCGGTTGTACTAATATTTGCCGCCAGTTTTGCAATCAGTGTATACAAAATAAGGTCTGTGTTCTTAAATATCATTTCAAATGAGATTCAATCTAAAATTTAAATACAAGTTAAAATGAGTACATTTTAATCTTATAGAATATATTATAAAACCTTTACTCTTCCATAAGGACATTGGCAATGTTGCTGGGTTAAATATAGATTTTTTTTAGAAGTTTTGAACAAATTTAAAGGTACAAAACATGTATAGTTCTGCCAAAGTTAACCTACCAAGCCAGTTTTCCTTTTTGTCGAATTAATGTTTTCACAATTATTCCTAATGCATTTCTTGTGTATAATCTTTATAAAAAGGATCTACATTATTTTAGCCATGCAATGTCTCTACAACCCATTTATTTCATAGACGTTTTTAATGAATTACATTATTTTATTCTTTTTTCCGATGACATGTATATATTTTGGCTAAAAATGCAAATAAAGAAAGAGAAATTTCGTCATTGTTCTTTAATTTTATGTTACTTTCCTTAACATCTAATTATTATTTATAATGATTGAGAGTTTCTTTCTTGTAATTTACGTTATTGAAAACAAATTGTCTAAAATGCCTTTTGCATGGATTTTTTTTATAACTTTAATTTGTAATTACTATACTGTGCCTCCTTCACATGACTTATATAGAACATCCGATAACCTAGCTGTCACCACTTTCAACATGTTCATTATACGTCACATCTTTGCATTTCCAGCATAACATGGTAAATGACGACCTGGTGACTGTCTGCCCCTTTAGTTTACACAAAGTACAACTAAGCCAACACTATCTTTCTTGTTGTATTTCTTTATTCAATTCGTAAAAGCAAACAAATGTGCTTTTGTTTACCTCTGTAACATTCGCTTTATTTATTTCCTCCACTCCTAGATAATTCCAAACGGACGATCACTCTCAATGACTGTTTTTATAAATAAAAAATCTTTATATTAAACATTTTTTCTCAGGAAACTCTGCCTTGCCAATTACCTTAATTTTCTGGACTACAATTATAATATCAATTAAAGGTTTTTTTTTAATCACAAGCTTCACTCTCTAAAGAACTGATCTGAGAAAATTTTTCAGTTGCCTGTCGTCGTTGTTGTTGCAAACCTTTTTTCTCATTTTATTATCCCAAATCCACTTGAAAAATTTAAAGAAATTTGGCATAATGCTTTTTATGAAGAGTATTCAAATCTATTGACATAAAGCGCAAAACTCACTTTTAACGGATTTTAATTAAAAATTACTGAAAAATTACTGCCATCTCGTAAAAATCTTTTCCCTAAGAACCAATGAGACAGAAAACGTAGTACATAGAATTGATATATTTATGAAATATTGACTCTAATGTATACTTATTTTCCTTAATTCAGAAACTCTATTTACATGAAGATTTCTTTTCCAAACTCATATAGAAAAATAACAATGAGAAAAAGACGAAAAGAATTGATGCGCCTTCCTAGTATTCCAAGGGACTCTCCAAGCGAAACGAGGTTGACCAATGCAGAGAGTCCCTATTCCGATTCCAACTATGAAACAATAGAGGAACCAGACAAGCGTTGCGAACCTTTACGCGGAGAAGGAGAAAATACTTTATTTCTAACAGACGAAGATGGACAATATTTAGAGCCTAACAATGCAGACGGAACACATTCAGATATAGTGCACAGCGTAAATGGACCTAATGATTTCATTAACGTTTCTCCTGACATTGATTTATTAGATGATACGATTAACGATTCTCTTAAATCGGAGGCTGTGGACATTTTACAATCCGATAATACTGCTGCAATGAACGTAAAAATAGATGTGGAAAAAAATGAAGAGGTAAACGAAGATTTACCACCACGAGTGCAAGGATTTTGAAAAGCGAAAGTTTTTGTAAATCTCAGAATTTCTAAATCAAAAATTACAAAGAATAAGAGCATCATTCATCTTTTTAGATAATAAGGTTCATATCCAGATCGCATGAGATGATGAAAAGATAGAATGTTTGTTTCGTACTTATGTAGAGATGTTGTCTAGGAAAAGAGTACCAACCTATAAGATCATATCGGAAAACTTACCGAATCAATATTGTATATGCATTGCCAGTTCTTTTTAAACATAATTTTAGTTTGTGGTATGATACATTATCATTAATCATAATACAAAATAATACATCTGTACTCATATGATAGAAAGTAAACAATTTTATGTTATTTCAAATTTACTTGCATGAATAAGTTATTTCTTATTTTAAGAGAAATGTCATTTTTTCAACATTTTCAATATAATAAATAAATGTCACCAGAGTGTATAATACTCAATTAAACAATGTAAAGCATTTTAATCGAAACATTTCAGATATGTGATTTTAAAATAAATGTATAATGAGTGTATTATGTGTATGTGGCAAAAGCATGATTACATTATACGTTATACATTATACGGCTGAAGGGTACATAATCAAACTATAAAAGTTGATACTGTGAAATCATGAATTTTTTGTGGTTTGATTTTCATGGATTTCTAGGTACGATCCAATCTATTTAGTTTCCTCTGACCACGAAAATTTTTCCAATCAAAAATATGTTATTTTAAAGTGTTCGGAAAATAAATGATTAGCAAAAAGGGACAAACAATTTTCTAAACTGAAAAATACCGCACAGTGATCAAAAAGTGCATTGAATGTTTAACAAAACAAGTCCCGGATAAGTAATTACTTTGCAGTTTTATAACGAAAATTTTTTAAGCATCTAAGGAAAAAAAACTGAATCATTTTGGAAAATTATTTCATTACAATTACAATAATATTAAGAGATATTGTAAAATATTTAAACGAATAACCAAACACAAGAGTATAAACTGTAAAAACAAGAATATTTGGCACAAGAGCCCCTGAACGCTAAAATTTATCGTGCGCTTACGGATTTTTAAATATTATTATTTGTGCCTGTTCAAAGCTTTCATATAAGTACATGTCAACCGGAACTCGCGATTACGTAATGTCGAAGGGTCGTTAGATTTTACATACACACTAGCTAACATGATACATTGTAGGGTCGATCGATAAAGTTCTGCCAACTTATAATTTAATTAAACTATTGGTAGTTGTTAAGATACATATCATCAGCACCTTCAAAGTTTGGCTTCTCGGGGTGTCAATCATCTATCGTCTCGAGGTAAACAATGCAATCAAACATGGATATTGAGCTTGCAGAAAAAACCTGATTATGATTACCGTTTATCCAAGTAACTTTCTTTCCATGCATGCATTGTTTTAATATGAATGAAATGCGTAAATTCTCCATTTCTTTTATACAAAGAGAAATATATTTAAATATTTCCATTTCCAATTTTTTACCGTGGTGATGCAATCACATGGACGTGGCACAATGTTAAATTAATTAAGGAATCACTGTCTTGTTTGGAGAGTATGCCAGGGCATCAACAGTGGGAAACATTGTGCGAGGATTGTGCGAGGACTATTGAATTGGAATAGAAGTCCTCGTGTAATTTAAATCTATTAGTCTACATTTTTATGTCAAAGTCTACAATTTTATTTCACAATGAAATTTAACTATAAGGAATTACTGTCTAGTTAGCTTTGCCCGTTATGCAAATTATCCAATTGATCGGTAAAGTTGACGAATGTTTTCTTATATACGGGAGTGCTATT